GCCAGCGCTGACTGGCGGAACGGACGGGGGAGGAGGCGGGTAAAGCTGGCTCTGCCTCTAGATAGGCAGAGCCCGCTGTCAGTCACGCAGCTGGGCGGATCCCGGCACAATTGTCGGGATCCGCTTCAGCGTCTCAGTATACCGCGAGCAGCAGCTCGCGGTATACTGCGGCATCTCAGTATACCGCAAGCTACAGCTCGCGGTATACTGAGCCTAGGGTGAAGGGAGGATGCTAGTTTGTGTCCTCCCGTTATCCTAAGGAGAACTATGGGGAAAAGCCTTAAACCCATAGTTCTCCTTTAAGTCAAAGTTAGTCCTTAGACGTGGTGGCCGCATTACTTTAAGCTTTTCTCCCTTTATTATTATCTGGGGTACCTGCTAGTGACACAAATCCTCTTCTAGGACCACAACACTCACTCACTACTGTATAGTTATATATAGAGGAGCAGCATTGTCACCCTTGGACAAGAAGTGTGTTAGGACTACAGAACAACTCTCCATCTCCTCCTCTCCATAATATAGGGGAAGGTATTCTGTAATTTGTAGAGAGAGCTGGGAACAATGCTGATTAATAAAAGAGTCAGCATAGGCAGAGAACGGGATGTTATCATCTCACAAGATTTGTGGCTGGAACAATTGATATCTTTTTTTTTTACTTATCGAACAGATAATGGTGTACATGATATAGAGTTTGTGATTAAAAAGACAACTTTTTAATAATGAGATCCTAATAGGTTGGACTTGATGGACTAATGTCTTTATTCAACCTCAAATACTATGTAACTATGTAACTTCTGTGTTTGCAGATGACACCAAGCTATGTAGTGGAATAAAGTCCTTAAAAGATGCCTCCAACTTACAAGCAGACCTATTGCAGTGTTTGATTTGGCATCTATGTGGCAAATGAGGTTTAAAGCCCATTTCCACCTCTGAAGAGATATTTAAAAAAACAAACAAATGCCAGCAATAAACACTGAGTGAACATGAAGCAGGCATATGCAGATGCTGTAGATGAACACAGAAACTTACATTTTTTGCTAGCTTTCCCAATTCATATCCTCAGGGAAATTACTGCCTCTGCCCCCCACCCCTTATTTGTTAGTATTCATAGTGGCAACCCCCCCCCGGATAGTGTATTGTGTGTGCAAAGGCAGAGCTGGTGTTTACTGATTGTGTTACAATGAATAACAGGGATGTTTACAGCGTGTGTAAAGGCAGGCACCCCAACACACAATATAGTGTACTGTATGAGCTAGACTCAGTACAATATTGATGTTTAACACAAAGGCACAGTTGTCATTTAAATATAAATGGGCAACGGTCGACTGAAAAATTAGGAGAGGTTTGCCATAATTTTGGTGTTTTGCTAGAATCCTTGCGCTGGGAGCTGCAGAATCCTGCAGCACCCAAGATGACTTGATGAAACGACCATGCGGCACCCTCACAGCAGCTTGTGTCTATGAATATTGGATTGTTACAGTAGAGAACAGGTGCATGCACACAGCAGCTGACACTTCAATCCATACCCTTCTTCCTCCAGGCCATGGAGAGCCACATAGACGTATAACCCATGCCTGCTCCTGGTGTAATGCTGTCCTCATTTCTGCTACTTAAAAACGAACTTAACTTGGAGCAGGCCCTTTATTGTAGAAGAGTGTGTGTTTTCAGCATAGCCCAGTGCCAGAATGAATGGACTTCCGTGTGCATGCTACCCTGATAAAGACCAGGCAGGTTCACGTACACACCCATACCACCTCTTGCCTGCCATTGGCTCTCGTGGAGAGAAGCCTCCTGGTTGCCTCGGTGACAGGGGGTTGGACTTACACCCCCTGGCTATAAAAAACTGGCCAGAGCTCTGGCTTGTTGCTGAGTTATCTCATCCTGTGGTGTGATTTCCTAGCTCCCTGTACATGTGCCTTGCTTTGTTTCCTGACCCCCTTTCTCTGGACCTCCTGTTGCCGACCTTGGACTGCCTTTCGCCCCTGAACTTTTGCTGCCTGCCTCGACTCGGATTGGACTTGACTTCTCTTTGGATTAACCCTTTTGTACCTCTGCCTTCGGACGCTTCAGGCCATTTCCTGCCAGTGAGTTCCACTTCGTTCTTCTGCCAAACCATTGGCACTCCTGACACATATACATAAATGGTTTTATCTGCCAAAGTTGATTGCCATTTTGATCAGTCCCTCTTTTGATACACAATGCCCAGCTAGTTAGCAAGGTCACTGTGCTTACTTTTTGGTTTAACATTGTTGGGCCAGCTCCCTGCTTACTGAAAAGGGTGAAAATGCTGAATCACTGTCTAATAGGGAGGCTGGCCAGTAGATTCCCCAGTCTACACTAAATCGCATGGATGGAGGAATCGCCACTGCCAGCCACTCAATTATTCAACTGCTGCTGCTCTCGTAGATGCCTGAATGCGGTTACAGTGCCAAACAGTAAATGCATCTGATAGGGTGCAGTCACGGTTCTGCCAATAAATTACCACCGGCTCAGTCAATTTTTGAATCGACTTCTGTTGAGCTGGATGTTGCTTGAAGGGCCACCCATGGCGTCATCTCTGGCCTGCTTAAGGAACTTGGTGTGTGCAGTGGGCAGTGTGGAGAATGTGCGTAAATCACAAGATCGTATGTACAGAATTACAAATCTAATGGCAAGTAAAACAGCAAACATGAATTCCAGCTGTGCGTTTAGCTGTTTGCCTGGAGTTTTCTCACCTACAATATGAAATATCTATCTGACTTGATGGACCTAAATTATTTTTGTCATCATTTCATTTTTTTTAAGTCAGGAACAAATACAATATATGCAAATACTTGACATTCCTTTTAATGGTGGTGGGAAATTTGCTGTAATAATCCAAATTGCACGATGCTATCAATATGTGTTAAAGGTCTTTGGTAACATGATTATATCAATCAGCAACTCTGTTTGTCAATTCATAAGGGCTTATGTGAGATTTATGCAAGACTTTACACGTAATGAGATATCTTGGCTGAACGCTGCTTTGGGCACATTTATTTCTGCGAATACCAAGAGACTGAAGCTCTAGACAACGGCTGAAACAAGTTATTTCTTAAAATAGCCAAGTATGCTGTACATTGCATTGCAGTCCAACTCTAAAGAATACCTGTTAGCTACTCGTGGCCAACTCATAAGTAGATATACAGTATCAAATAGTATGCCTTCACTTATCACCTTTATTCTGTGTACAGACAGGTACTCTTTAATATGGAACTAAAAACATGTTTGCTTTTTTAACAACAGGTTGACCGCCTCAAGGGCTTATTCACATTTCAATGTACTGCACTGAAACTTCATTTGAAAATAAAGGACTGTAACGCACCTCAATGCATGAAACATTTAGATAGGCTGCATTTTTTTCCAGTGCACTGCCACACACATTTTGTGTTGTAGTGCGTTGAGGTGCCATTCAAAACGAAAGCTTCTGCAATGCACCAATGTATGCATGCTCCAATGCAGCTTGTTGGAGCCATCACAGTTTGTGTTGTAGTGCGCTGAGGTGCAATCTGATTTTGTGCTGAGGTGCCATTCAAAATGAATGCTGCTGCAATGCACCAATGTATGCATGCTCCATTGCAGCTTGTTGGAGCAATGTTAAACGTGTGTTACTGCAACGCACTGGTGTGCAGGCACCCTAAAGAAAGCCTGTGCTGAAAGACATATGTAGACTACCATTGCTGACTTCTATCTGAAAATGTTAATTGCCTGGCTGCCATGCTGCTCCTCTGGCTTTAGTGTTTTCCGAGTCACTGCCAAGCATGCAGATGAGGAGCCCTGACTTCTCTTGCTGCATGTTTGTTCCAGGTCAGTGACTTACAAAGCAGTAAAGCAAGAGACAGCAAGGGTAATAGCATTTTCAGAGGTAGGTCAGCAAAGGCAGCCTAAATACGTCTCTCAAAACAGGTTTCCTTCACATATGAAAAAGTCTCATTTGGTGCACAACATGCTGCCATATTGTAAAGGTGCCTTCAGGCATAGCATGGTTTTCTCAGGGCTGGATCAGGAAAACAACTGTACCGTATATCTGATCCCTGGACAGCTCTTGGTCAATATTTATGAAGAGATGAATTGATTGGCCAGGCTCAATATTCCCCCCTGCCATATAAGTCTCCCACCTCCCTCTTCCAAAGGCATAAATATGAACATGTGGTCCATCTGAGCATGCATATTTATGAAAAGATCTTATTTTATTTATAAAGCTATTTGGCAGTCAGATCACAAATTTCCTATTGCAATTCGATGACTATAGGTACCTGAAGTCCGCCCAACGGACCTGACACTGTCGCCAGTAAGCAGCAAGGTGATCTCTAAATGTTTTTTTTCCTTCTTCCTTTCATAGATATCTAGCAGCATTTATTGGCTTCCATCCCTTCCAGTAGGACCCATTACTCCCAGTCCAATCCACCAGATCACCTTTGAGCCTAATCTGATCCTATCCAGACATACAACTCCTACTTGTGACAAGCCTCTCCCTTTTAGGACCCAAACAACAGAACCAATCCTTGTAGAGCTGGGACTGCTGCGTGCCATGAAACCACAGAGGGCCACTTATCTTGAAACACAGGGGTGTGACTCACCTTGCCTTTCAATTCGCTGATTACCCCTTAGCTGTGACACAATGACGCCTGCGACTAAACCCCTAGTTAGTCACTCTAGTTCAGTGTTCATTAGGTATTGTGCTGGAAATCTATAGATCCCACATACTGTGCTTTGTCTGACACATCCCCACTCTAAAAATAGGCCAGTAACGTGTTACTCTCTGAGCATGGTGTTTGTCAGGGTAAAAGGCTGTTCCCGAGCAAATCAGAGACTTGTCTTATCACGAGACTATATTTACCACAAGCTGTTTCTTTTCTCTCTTCTCACACCAAGTTATTAGCTGGGCCTCTCCCTATTTCGTACGCGTGATCTTACCTGATTTCCCATCTGCCCAGGGCCCTGTCCTCTGTGTAACCTCAGCTGGGTCCAAGCCTACCTCTTCCTATCTCAGATATTTACCTCTCTGTTACCTGTTTTATTGGTTGAAGCTCTCTATCATGATTCCTTGCTGCTCATAGAATGTATGCAAGGAGCAGGGAAACTCCAGCTGTAGTGAACTACAAATTCAATCAGCCCTCTGCCTCTGGAAGTCATGCCTGTGGCTGTCAGAGTCATGCAAAGCCTCATGGGATTTGTAATTGCACCACAGCTGGAGGGCCAGAGTTTGCCAACCCCTGATGTATGCTCTATGTTATATATTTATGAATTGTTAAACAGCAACACCATGACCTTCATTCTTCGATCTCTTCATGCTGTTTTTGCCTGCCTGGACCTCAGAGAATCCCACCTAAGGTTATTCAGACTGGAATCTAAAGCTAAATAGGAAGTAAGAGCAGTAAGGAAAGTTCACTGCAGGAATTTCAGGACGGAGAAATGGATGGATTTATTTCTGTAGATGCACCCAAATTTTGACCCACTTTTGGATTTAGGATTCACTTGCAATCCTGCCAATAGCATCTGCAACCCAACTCATAGAGTTCAAAAATAGAGTCTTACCCAAAGCTCACTATGATATCTGCCATGTTACAGAGACTTCTGACATCTGAGGCCAGACTGCCAAGTTACAGAGAGAGAGACTGCCCTGCTAAAAAAAGAGAAACCACCAAGTTACCTAGGGAAAGACTGCCATATGGAGTCAGTGGCTGCCATATGGCAAGAAACAGGGTCATGTTTCTTAGAAAATTGGAGCAGTGAGCATTCAGCTATCTGTCATTGTGAGCAGTAATATATGACCTGTGTCGTTGTCATGTGGTTACAGCCTGATTCGTAGCCCGATTTATTCATGCTGACCTACCTGTCACTTGATCAACATGTTGGATAACCTCCAAGTACCAAGTACTAATACCTCTGATGGGCAAAAGAGTGGTGGGAGAGTGAAGAAAAGATGAGGTGGGAGGTTTGTGGCATTTAAATAAAAACTTATTTTATGCCCTGCCCTAATCAATAACAGAACGGGAGCTGCAGTGGTATGGTATTCCCTCCATGATAAACCCGACCCAATCTAACATCACACGTGACCCCCAGGCAGCCAATTTTGGACAGCAGGATTCACATCTAGCGGGATTTTTGATTCCTCCTTTGTTTTTCTCAAGCCTGTTTTGCAGAAATAATGGATTTCAGTCTGCATGTGCACTGCAGATGGCTAAATGAAAATAAACCAAGTTTTGGCCTGGGCTTATAATGAGAGCTGTCGGAGCACAATTAAAAGAAAAGACAGGACTTAAGGTGAGCATACACCTGCCGATTATCGTACGATAATCACGGGTGATCCAGCGATCGTACCATAATCGGCAGGTGTATGGGTAGCGTGCGACAGCATCTACTGTAAGGTCGTGCGACTTTTGTCTTCCTAGCATGCTGTAAAACCCACCGAAAATCGTACGATGTTCGGCGGGTTGGTAGCGTGCTCGGAAGACGAAAGCCGCACGGGCCGGTGTGTGCAAGCGCACAATGCCCGCTCAGCATTGCAATCATCGGCAAGCCCTCCCCTCAGCGGGGAGGGCTTGCGATGATCGCAAGTACGATCTGCCTGTCCAAGATGGGCAGGTCGTATGAAATTGTAATGACCTTACAACCATCGCACAACGAGAGTCGTGCAATGGTTCTAAGGTGTATGGCCAGCTTAAGAGTTTATATTTGCAACTTCTTGCTTCTTCCAAGCTTCTTGGTGTCTGGGTGTTTTTAAAAATACGTGTTCCAACCAGCAGGTGTAAAATGGCTTAAAAAGAATGATGCAAATACAACCGCCTGCCAGCATCATTTAATCAATTCTAAATAGTGTCTAGTTCTGCCTGACTCACCTCATGCACACAGCTGAAGAGTTCCCAATGAAAAGCACTCAGGTGGTTGGCCAGATCTTCTGCCTCTATTCGATGAATATGAGAATCCTCAGGAGGCAGCTGAACCTCTTCTGGCAAGGGAACCTAAGAGAGAATGATATGTTTGTATTTATATGCTGCCAACAGAAGGGTGTTCTACAAGAACAGTTACTAGAATATGCAATGCTTTTGCTGCTATCGATTAAACATGTACATAGGGGACAAAGAGGGAATTGCCCGTTAAGCCTTGGTAAAGTGTAAATAACAGCATTAGGTTACAAATGTATGCAGCTGGTAACCAGCCTATAAATTAATAATAACCCTATATGAAAGGTAACAATTATAACGGGGCTCTGCCACAAAAGTGAATAACATAATAGAGTCTTTATATTATAAATGCCATGATGTTAGATCAATAGAAGGAAAACAAAGTCATAGGTCTTGAATGGCAGTAATTAAGGAAGAAACATCTGTTTTATTAGATACATTACATATGGATCATATTATTACAGCCTGAGATGTCTACAGACAATATTGCACACAGCCTTTTTTGAGTGTTGCAATTTCTCAATCCAGCGGCTGTATGACTGCGGCTGGGTTTATGGTTAGACACGCTTTCATTTGTGGGTGCAATCAAGTAAGCCATTACTTTTATATATTTGATTCCAGATGTACTACTCAGACTTTTATGGCTGTCTCCTGACATATATCAAGGGCCTCAAGCTCACATATAAGGCACACAGCTATTAGATTTGACGGTGTTACACCCCGAGCACAGACATAGTGGACTGGTTTTGATTAGGGAATTTTGGCACTGGCACGATCATTAAAAATCACTTTCTTAATGGCTGCCATTTAGGACTTATAATTTTGTTTTCCTTTAATGGGTCTAACATTGTGGCCTTTATACTATACGGACTGTATGATGTTTTTGTAGCTTTTAAAGGGCTGTATCAGAGGCCCCTTCCTGTCTATCCCTTGTCCAATCAATTAAACAGCATCCATTTCCGTCATACTCGTTTTTGGAGATGATCAAAAAATGAATGCTGAAAATTCTTCTATATCTACTAGAAGTTCTCAGGGACCTGTGTGACAGTGTGCAGACTGACTGTTAGTAGCAGCCCGCAGCCCACAGATCAATGATCAGTCTGTACATAAAGGCCATGCTCTATGTGGACATAGGGAACCTTTGAAGACTTAAAGCCTAACTCTAGACTCCGTGATGACATCAGCACCACTCTCTGTCTTAACACACTGTGAGGCCATGACCCACTGCACTCACAGTCTTTCCTCAGTAACTCTGGGCATCATTTGACCCAGAAGCCTGAGGATGTCTTGGGATAAAGAAGAAGTATTCAGGTAAACAGTGCAGGATTAAAGGTGAGTACTGCAGTTTGAGCTGCTATTTTATAGCTCAAGGGGGCAGTTAAAAAACAATTTAGCGGAGCTGGGCTTAAAAGTTGTCTGCACTAAAACACCACTGCTACTTTAAGCGGTTTTTAGGCCAGATTAGGTTCATTTAAAGTTATTTTAAGAGATTTGTACAAGAATAAAAAAGTACTGTATATCAGAAAAAAAAGACGGCTTCTTACCAAAGAGCACAGCTCATCCCGGTTACATGCAAACAAGTGACTGTTAATGCCCAAGGTCGTAAAGATGCAACCGTCATCCGGCTTCAGGAGAACCTTTTCTGAGGAAAGAGAGTAAAATCTGAGTATAGAAAATATTACAAACTCCAGGCTGTCACTCACGTGTAATTAGGGAGGCCCTCTTGCCAATTACAGAGCTACTAAAGAGAAATTACCAGGAGGAGTGGCCTGGCACCAACATGGATGCACGCTATCAAGCAACAACCACACCCTTTGAGCAATGCTGAAAGATGGTGAGAATCAACCAGAGTAATTCACAATGAGTGGCAGACAGGTTGGCACCTTTCCAGCATGAGGTACAAGATGGCGGCTGAGCAACCTGTGCTCTGCCCTTTTGCATGATAGCACAGCGTCCTTCTCTCCTGCCTCACCAAGAGCAAGGTGCAGATCCTCCACACTCCTATCACAGATCCTGACATGTAGCAAGAGATCCCGGGTACAGAGATTGCAGGGGACCAGGTGGAGCCTATCCTGGCTCACATTATAGATTCCATGAAAGACTGTGGTCTACCCTAGCCTCGCAAATTGAAGGGGTACATATCAATTTATCAAATAGGATTTACACACTCAAAGGAAGAGGGCTACTGAGATGGAGGGGGGAATAAATACAGTGGAGGACACAGTACAGCCAATATTTATATGATACTCAAATGCTTAAAAGGGAACTCTCCACCTGTAAACTGTCATTGGAGAAAATCTCGGCTTTTTCGGCTTTTCACAGCGCTCCCAAAGTAATACCCCTAAAACGTTTCTTAAAAATTGGCTTAAAACCACTGTTTAAATTTGGATTTTTCTCCAAACTTCATTATAGAAAAAGTGTGCTGCGCTCCTCATGTAGCACCCCTGCTAAAATCTTTACTTTCAGATAAAAGGTTTCAATCCTTCATGCAGCAAGACTGACGGGTCATCTCAGCTATAATGGTAATTGTGTTTCAGCTTTTGAAGACTCTTCCTTTGCTGAGCAGAGGCAGAGAGCCTCCTTTTTGGAGGATAAAAGGTGACTCCTCCAGAAAAGAATAACCTACATCATGCTGTTTCTGGCAAAACTGTGGATACAGGCTAACAAAACTACGTTTCTTCATAACTCTGCTTCTGACTGACTAGATGGCAAGGGGCTTCCACAGAGCAGCAACCCCAGGAAGAGAACTGGCCCTGTTTTTCTACCTTCTCTCCTCGCATCTTTCTTTTTTGGGATCCTTTCCCATGGAACACCAAGGGATGCAGCACCTCCCTTTATCCCACGATCTTCTTCAAGATCTCCATCATGTTCTAACTGAAACTGGACTACTCCAATTTTGTACCCCCACCTTTTATGGAGGATATATCTGCAGTAGAGTAATTCTGAGGTGGGATAGTAAAACGTAACTCTCATACAGACAATTTAAGAATTATATATTGTTCCATGCTACATGTTGTAGGTTTCAGAATATCAAATGGGATACTTCTAGCAATAAGAGTCCCAAATGCAAAACTAAATAAGTGAAAGTGGGAGTCTTCCATGAGAGTCTGAATGACATGAAAATGTATTTACCCCTGGATGCCTCCATCCCATAGGTCAATAAGTTCAAATCTATTAATCCAATGCTGGAAACCTGGGTCGGGCCGGACTGACCCTGTCTCCCCAAGCTCTATCATACGGGTCTGTCTTACAGTCTGGGACAGCATTAAAGTCTTCCATTATTATTATGGGACCGATCGATAAGTGATGGTAGGACTCTGATGTGAAGGTGGGACTGAGCGCTCTTATGTGAAGGGGCTCAAGACTCTGATGTGAAGGGGGCTCCTGATGAGAAGAGGGAACTCAAATATGACAGCGGGGACTGTGATATGAAAGAGGGGCTGATGATGTCAAAAGAGGGCTCCTACTGTGAGAGGGAGGGCCTCTGATGTGAAAAGCAGGGTCTCTTGATGTGAAGGGAAGGGACCCTATTTTTGCATGGGGTTCCCACTTAAAATCCATATCAGGCCCCTATTTAGAACAAGGGTCTGGTATAGATTTTGGGGCCACATGTTGTTTTTTACATTTCTACACTTAAATATTTTACATTTTAGACTGGGGTGCCTCGACATGTTGCATACTTTTAAAGGGTGCCATGACTGAAAAAAGGATGAGAAACGCTGCTTTAGTGAGCTGGAATATAGATTCATCTCTATATCCATACTCTTTCCCACTGAGTTCTGACATCTACTAAGGATATACTAAATGCATTTGTTGCCTCCTATTCTAATTTATATGCACCAAAGGTGAAAAACTAAATTCCTTACATGGGCAAAGCGCAGGTACGCACAGGTGAGCAATGTATAATGCAGTGGTTTGTACCTTTTACAGTTATGTGAGCAAATTATAAAGATGTTTATAGTAAGGTGCAGAAAATGCCTGCTATTCATTTGGCACTTGTTCCCATGGTGTTTGCTACTACATGACAGGTGCACTTTTGAAAATACAGAATGTTCCCTCACTAGGCAGCTCTGTCAATATAGTACTGCACCCCTGCTAGGTGCCTTCACTGTTAGAGCTCACCATTGTTGTAGAATGATGGGAGTGCTGACACACCACTTACAGACTAACACAGAGGAGGCCAAGCCATCAGCATGCTAACAAGATTGATTAGCTTCTCTGGCTCCTAACAAGATTCCCTGGGGACCCTTTCTTACCTACTAGCTATGTGAATTTAGCTCCCTGCAAATAAGTTCTCTTTAATCAAGACCGTAAATTCTGACACAGGCTGCTGCAAAATCTCACCCTATCCTAAGATTTTACCCTCACATTGAACGTGCTACTGAACATAAATTACAAGCTGGTTTGAGTACAAAAGGTGATCATATTGTTAACCCTTGAATATGTAAAAATATCATTAGCTCAGCACAACTGATTTTGGGTGGGCACCAATTGATTAAATCACGCTCATGCATCTTGTATCTCTCAGGGACTCCAGTGAAGCTGATTTCCCATACTAGATCCTTCCTCGACTGATATCAGCAATAAAGTGTCCTTCTCCTGCAATTTGATTCCCCAACAATTTGATTATAGAAGACCCATCAGAAGAGGGTGCCCCCAATAGACTTGTAGTTGCTGCTACCGTTGGACAGAGCTTAGAATTCTGGTCTGGATATGTTGCCATTTGAGTTTGTGAGAAATATATACAAGATAGTTTATGATTCAACCATTAAGTTTATTTTTATAGACAATTTCTGATTGGTTGCTATAGGTAGTGGCAATACTCTCATCACCACTACTCTTTCCATCACTTTGCTGAATAAAACCTGTAAAGTGATATTTTCACTGAAAGGTTAATGGTCTTTTAAGCAACCATAACTGTCAATGTTACAGCCTTACTCTAACTCACAAACTGTAATTCAAAAACCTAGTTGTAGATTAGGAACCTTGTCCATAGCAAGGAAATTTAGGCCAGATTCATCTAGCTGAAATAGCAGGTAAAGGCATGTCAAAGTGGCCTTTCAAGAAACATGATCAACCATATGATATGAATACTTCTTGAGAGGCCACATTTTGGAATGCTATGAAGTACACCTGGGTTGCGGGAAATATGTAAAGTAATACCTATTGTCAATGGTAGGCACCTTCAGGGGATGGGACCAGCACCAATGACTTGGAAGCTTTGAGTGTAACTGTATTTCAAAGCACCCTGGGGTTTTGGGGGTCTCAGGACACTACACGGTGTAGAGGTGCAGGTTGTTCCTAGTAAGTGACAAATTAGAGTTTTCTTACCTTTCATAGGTTTGCTTTAAAGTTCTATCACAGCTTCACATATCAGGAATTTTGAGGCAGTATACACTACAGCTCATATTGCCAGCCCATAAAAATAATGATATACTTTATTTAATTGCATATATTATTATGTGTCCCTGCATATATTAATAAGTTTCCCTGCAAATTGACACAGCTTTGACAATTCTGCAGAAGCATAAAGCTGTAAACCCAATATGGAACAGTCCCCTGATAAAGTGACCATATCACCTGACAATTCGCTTCAACAACAATCTTCCCATAACATATGTGCCTTTACCATGTGTTATGCATGTTATTTACCTGTAAAAGTCTTCCTTGTGCAGACATCGAAAAGACCTGAGACTGCTACTGGGTTCCACCATCTTGGGGTAGTCAACCTCAGCATTCTAGTTGTTGTGGAACTACAAGTCCCATGAGTTCAAGATAGAAGTGAAGAAAGAACCAATGATGTCACTGAATACAACTAACTTTATTCAGGCTGTACATGTGCCACAAAGTCCCGCCTCTCTGACGGTTTCCACCCTCACGGGCTTAGTCATGGACAGATGTCAATGGTGTGCGGCCCAACTTTCCTGGACTGTGTGTGATGGAGTGAAGGTGTGCTCCAGTGGTGGGCACACAATGCTCCCTTTGAGTGATGAAAGGATGCTGTGAAGTAGTGGTGTAGCTCTGAGTAGTGGATGTGTGCAAGTTCCATGAGGCATTGCAAAATTCTGACAGCCACAGGCATGACTCTCAGAGGGCGTACAAAAGTTGCCTACCCTTGCTCTAAAGTATTATTTTCTCCCTTTTATTAAAGTTTATGTAGTGAGGGGAGAGGAGGATTGGAGGAGCTGGGCCTGTACAGAGAATAATTAGACTTTACCAGAGAGGGAGAGGGCTATGATGTGCCCTCTCTTGGTGAGTCGTCTCTTGAGGTCTCTTGAAAGCACAGAGGATGTGGTTGTACTATTTGATGCTTATATAAAAAAAAAAACTAAAAGGTAGAGTAACTGATATTGCCAGCCCAGCATAGTGTATTCATCCAGACAAAAATCCCTCCTTGTTTCAATATAAATAACAGTAAACAGGGTCATTTTCTGTTTCAGATATACCTCCAAGGTCTCCTTAATGGAATTTCCAGCTCTCATCACAGTCTCACTCTTTCTGCTGTATTCTTCATAATGCAAAATACATTTTAAAAATGCAACAAATTGAATTGAACCCGTATAATTACCAAGGTAGGTGGACCTGGGAGGCCTTGCCACCTGAGTCTTTGACAAATGGGAGAAACAAGAATCGATCCAAAGCTGAAATGCTTTGGATGAACTGAACCTTTAAGAAGGTGCAAATGCTGTCTTTCTCCGAATAGACAGAGACAAGCGCTGCCAGCCAATTTACATCTCCCTGACACACTGACATTCACAACCAGTGACAGTATGCCTCTCAGATACAAAGGCACTATGACTACTGCCCCCCTCTCCAGAGCCAAGCACACACACACAGATCCACGGATCCAGGCTGTACTGCTTTCCACACATGTACGCTCACGCTATGACAGCTCCGCATCCCCCCCTCCTATCACTCCACACACATACATCCAGTCACGTGCTCAAGCTGTAACACATTCTCACTAGTACTGACAGAGCTGCTCCAGAAATAGTCACCCACCCCCAATCCTATTCCTGAGATCGTTTCTAAGTCTCTGTAGGAAGACATTTAACATTTAATGGGCCAGAATTGTGAGCAACAGCGGATACCAGGATCAGTATGCTGCAAAAAGCAAGCAATTCATTTTCCTCTTTCGTGTTCAAGCCTGCACAAGCAAACGGCTTTACAACTAATAAATCAACCCCTTAATTTTTTTTTCGGGTCATTTGTTGTGTTTTTAAAATTGATTTTATTGCATTTACAATATTTAGTTGCAGGCAGTAAATTATAGTACTTATTAACATTGAGGTCTCCCAACCAGGTCTCCCAGTTCTGTAAGATGAGTCACACATCCAGGCTGCGCTGAGATACATGTGTGTCAGCATTTGTTTTCAAGTGTAATGTCTAAGTCATGCTTTCCATAGTGGTGTCCTCATCGTCATGTATAGTAGTAATGCCATACCACGCATACCACACATACGTTGTAGTGTGAACTGCAGGATTTCCATCGTGCATTGCATAGAAGACAGCTAATGAAAGATGACAACAATGCCAATACCCCATAGAACAAAGCAATCATTTCATACTTTGCTGTCACAATAGACCCTAATAACCATGTTTGCAGGAACTTTATTGAGCATGCTAGCAGGAACCTTAATGACCATGTATGCAGGAAAGACTTACAGCATTCTGCATGTTCATGAAATATACAACTCATAGTTGATAATTGTGTCCCAGATTCTGCGGGACAATGCTGGGATTTAGGACACTGTAGCGTAGCACAATGGACACGTCCCACAGGATCCAGAACACTGTGCAGAGTGGCAGCAGGTGCCAAGTGCTGGAACGCTCCTGTGTTCCAGCACCTAGCACTGCAATTATGCTGGTACTGTTGGGCGTAATGATCTCCAAACCTACAGTAACAGCATAGTTCTGATTGAAGGAGAGAGGCCGAACAGCAGTGTAAAAGCGTATGATCTGGTAAGTAACTACTAATCACCAATGCAAACAGAGCACTACCAGACCAACCATGTGGATTGTTTTATCCCCCTGACGCTAATGATGGACCCTTTTTTTATCCCACTAAGACCAACAATGGGATTTATTTTAACCTACAGACACCAATGATAGGGCTTATTTGATCCCACTGATATCAAAGATGGGACATACGTTACTCCCCATGACACCAACAATGGGACAAATTGCAGCCTACAGATACCAACAATGGTTCTAATTTTATCCCACTGATGGGACATAATTTACTCTCCCGACACCAATGATGGAACCTATTTTACTGCCATTTTCTCTTCAGTGTACCCCCAGGCTCCTGTTTGTAAATGACTGGACATATGATCATTAACGTGTCCTTTACTCTTGTCTTTCCAGGCCCAAATTGTACAAAATACCCTTAATGAATCCTCTGCATATTGGGTCCCTTTTGCTTAATCTTAGCGTGCTCACGCTCTGTGTTTCTAGTTCGTCACCATGTACATTAATCAATACAATAGAAATGTGTTAGGGGCATGTCACATTAGAAACTTTGCTGCAGAGATTTGTAGCAGCTATAAATCTCTGCTTTTTCCTTTAGTGATTTGTAGCTTGCTACGAGGTTGCTGCAGGAGCAGACTACAAAGCTTATCTCAGCAGCTACAACTCGCTGTGTGCCATGGCTATTAGCAACATCAATGCATAGCATATGAAGCTACTGAAGCATGTGATACTGTAGCTACATGGAAGATGCAGTCATGATGTTTTTTTATGTATTTGGTAGCAGCAAAATAAATGTCAGTGTGTATATATGCTATCCACTGGAATGCCACTGATTGCTACAGGCAACACAGCTTTTACGCATGAAGTATAACATGAAGCATGGTGACTTCTAACTTCACAAGCACATACAGTCATACAAACCCTGCATGCAGCAAGCCGTACCAGCTTTCCAATTCAGAATACACTGAGATGATTGCAAAGTGAATGTAACTCAAACAGCCCTGACAGTGGAGTTCCTTAAAAAGGATTTTTTTCTCCCTTCCCACTCAATCTTCTGTGATCACTGGTGCCATCTTTGGTGTGCTCATTATAAGCTGGTATCTCCTTAGTGGTCTGGGCTTTATTGGCATCTCATTAAGATGCTGGCCTGCTGATGACACTCATAAGGAGCTTGAACACATGCATCATTTCTAAGCAAGTCCTACAGAAGAAGTAGTAAGCACTGTGATAACAAGACAACACTTTAGCTTGGCCTCGACTAATGTTGTCATACGCCACACAATACTCCACATCTTCAGCAACCTCATGACCTATTCCTTAGCACAGATAATGTCTTTGAGAACTGGGCCACATCAGGATTACCAAATGTAAGGAAAGAGGTAATGACATATCAGTCTCAGCAATACAACACAAATGAAGTTCCTAAAATATAACTTTTATATAACATATAACCATTTATATAACTTTTATTTCGCGTACATATTGGACACTTTTATTTATTGTGTCAGGGATCCCGCTGCCTTAAGGTGGTCATATACTGTAATATTTTCTTTGTTCAACCTGCGAGCTGAACAAAGAAAATAAAACAGATTTCTCCATTAACACTTACAAGCATGATCGAGGAATCTCCCACTGTCTTCATTGTATTCTGACAGCGGCAGCCGGCCAAATAGAGCTAATTGACTGCCGGCTCTGTTCGTTTGAAGATTTTCCAACCAGCTTCTTCTATCAGCCGATCGAGGGATGCCGGCCAAAAGTGTGCCAATAGCATCACCGACTGTGCAAATTTCAGCCGGTTCTTGATAAAATTAATATAGTAAAGTATAATAGTATATGAATACAATATATAATATATATAGCCAGCTTTACTACAAGCTTCTCTGTACTACTATCCATATTGTTCATTCAACTCTATTATTAATATTTTCAGCCAAGATTTATACAACTTTCACCCAAGAGTTAAATATATTTGCCACGAGATTCCGATGGGGCAAATTTTTATTAAAAACTGGGCCTATCTTGGGTGAAAACATTGATGAACAAATGGATGGCAGTACACACATCCCTAAAAGACCATTTATTTTAAGTGCAAGTGCTGGAATTGTGGGTGCCAAAATCGACCCCTCCTGTGCTGATATCTACAAACTTCAAAATCTTGTTGCCAAGAAACACTAATCAGTTCTTTATATTTCATCTGAGCTGCCGGCTGAATGAGTGAAATCAATCTATTCCCCCATCCATGCTAAACAGCTAATTACCAATGCCAGCTATTCTTTTCTGACAGGAGGCACCCATAGCTGTCTGAATACCTGGACAGTGACTGCATCTGGCTGGATGTAGCCACTGTTCGACCAACAATTTTCCATCCCTCTCTGTTAATTTTGCAATTGACGCTTGTGAAGTAGGGAGGTGTTGACAGCACCACCCACAGTAAAATTTTGTCCGATTCAGGAGGAATCGGCTTAAATTCAAGTAATTTATGACCAGCTTTGCTTGATCTGCCTACATGCGTCTACTTAGATAAATTCAAAGAATGATAAGGCACACTCACCTCCAGCGCTGGTAACGGCCACTAATATTAAAGGTTCCTCCCTCTGTCCTTGCTCCTCTGAGTATTGGAGCTTTTCGGAGACAGAGCTGAGAATGTCAGAGACTGATGCAGACAGGCGACTTCGGATGGTAACATATGAATGGTCAGGCATATAGACCCTGCAGAAGACTGACAAAATAAAAATAATAATGACATTGTCAGGATAGACTGCTAAAAAAATGATCATTATAAATCGAAAAAGGTCCAAACACAGAATTTAGGGTCTCGATACATATTTAAGCAACTCTCTAGGCTTAAAGCATAATCTCAGGACCTTCCAAATATACTGTATATACAGTATATACAAATATAGATATCTATATATATATATAGATATATACTGTAACTGTATATATATCCTATTTCACATTTGCAAGCTCCTTCTGTGCACAGTCCAGCTTCCTTCCCGCTAAAAATCATGGTAATGGTACAAGCCCCTTGGATTGCTAACTAAAGAACAAATGGCTGCTGAAACTCTGCTTTCTTTGTCTGCTGATTGAGCATTGAAAAAGCAGAGGCACATTGATGATGTCATCCTTGAGCTTTCGTCTCCTAGAAGCATGTTCTATGTTAGAATGACAGCACTACAAGGCATCAGAGTCATGACAGATGACCTTCCCTCCTAAGTCTGAGTATTACTGTCCAGGGAATTGCTGGAAGGTAATGTAATGACAATTTGAGGTATTCATATTACCTGTATACACATGTGATTATCTTTTTAATGACAACATCATGGTATTAAAGGTTTTTTTTTTTTAATAATTGCCTGACATTCCATTTTAAACTGCATACTACCATCATTTCTGTTAACAGAAACTTAGATTGTCTATAGCTACTCATACAGAGACACAGAAACTAGAGCTACTGATGTCTGGAGGACAATCAATTTGCCAGTATGGTTTGGAACAGCAGAACAAATCTGGAGCACCAGAAGCCTGCACAGACATGGGGAGAATGTACAAACTGCAAACATCGCCCCTAATGGGATTCAAACCCAGAATTCTAGCACTGCATCACTACACAAATAATCACTAGTGAGCATTCTGTGATTCTCAGATCAATTACTCACATTCCATTCATTGTCTACTATGACATAAGCTAAAATAAAAAACAAATTGGCTGCTGTGGGCAATAGGGACATTTTGATCAAGAAGACTGCATATTAAACATGAAGAAAATGATACATCTTAAACAATGTTTTTTAAGTGAAGCTAAACTCAGGAGGTAAGTCTTAAAATTGCATTCATGTACCTTAACTATTAACAGAAATGTATCTTATTTATGTATCACTCGGCTTTAGATCCTCAAATCATCTCTGAATTGGTGCTGACACTGTCCATCCTTCTGGAGGGTGGCTACTTTTGATCCCCATGGTCCCTGTGTGTGCTGTATAGTAGCCACCACTCCAAGCTTGCTACCGTGATAGACTACAATCTCAATATAAATTAGCATGAAATTATAGTCTATCATAAGAGTGAGCTTAGAGCTGTGGCTACTTTATAACACACACAGGAACCATGGGGAGCAAAAGTAGCCACCCTCCAGAAGGAAGGACAGTGTCAGCACCAATTCAGAGATGATTTGAGGATCTCCAGCCGAGTGATACACAAATAAGATACATTTTTGTTAACAGTTGAGGTACTTGAATACATTTTTAAGATTTAACTCCTGAGTTTAGTGTCACTTTAACAAGTCAATGTAAATGTGACTAATACCAGCAACATCATGACCTGGATAAAGATCTCCACAGACATCGAGGTTTAATCTTCGTTAAGATATACTAACAAAGTACCCCAATCAGTAAAAACACAAAGTAACATATCTATTAAGTCAAACCTCTACAGACAAAAACGTACTTTCATCAGAACCCCTGAATGCCACCCGCGGCTGCAGGCAGGAGTCGATCCGTCGAAAATGGCGGAATAAGGGCTTGACCTGTTTGGAGCAGGGAGCCGCACTGCCATCTGTAAGCCTGCATGGAGAGTATGACATGTTAGGATAAGGCTCAAGCTGCAAAAAATGAGCACCCACATTTCTATATTCTCTACAGTACAGTGTTTGCTAAAGTGTGGAGCATATACTTATGGAAATATCTATACTTACTATGGGTAGCGGACAGCAAAGTCTGGTACATAAAAGAACAGTATGGTGCCGACAGAAGAGGACTGTTCTGGTGCATAGTTGAAATACCTGTGCTCATTCCAACCGTCTGGCAGCTGCCACAAGATTTTGGTGCACGTCTTGTACAATGCATTGATCAGATACTAAATCTATTAGAGAGGGGTATGCATAACATTTTGCACCCAAAATGCAGACAGAAAGTGCTGAGCCGGATTCAAATCTCTATGTTATCCAATAGGGCTAAAACATAAAGCTCCTCTCATGCAGGCAGGTGGTATATGTTGCCTGCACAACGTCTGCTCCAATCTGTAAATGGCACGATTACTAGATGTTCTAAATCATAACAGGAGTGATGAAGGCTGTACTGGACTAATTTAGGAGGCCTTAGAGCTGTGATCCCCAACCAGTGGCTTGGGCGACAACTGCGGCTCTAGGCCACTTTTGGTATGTCTCCACAGCTGATCAGTAATGCTGTGGCCTATACCCTACCAATGTATATATCCCATAAACATGAATTAACCAAATCTCATCAGTTGAGAAACAGAAATATTGTCTACAAGCTCCTTTCTCATAATCAATCAGGTATTTTTAAATGGGAATCACAAATTGAAAAAGGTCTGGGACCTCTGAAACACAAACAAGCGTGAATTTTAAAAGTGGAAGTCTGAGTATCACCTTCAAATACCACACAATCATAATGATCACTGCCATCTTATAAAATAAATGTGCTTCCTGTGCAATCTGTCCTTGGTTCTGTAAATGTTCCCTCTGCTGTGTAGATGGTTTACCCAGAAGACTAACAGGGTTATTCACAAAAGGGTAAAGAGTTTGGAGAACAACCTAGGACAACATAGCTGAACTGGAAAGTGAGCTGAATTGGAGAATGTTTCCAGTTCAGCTATGTTGTCCTAGATTGTTCACTTCTCCTGCCTTCTCCAAACTCTTCACCCTTTTGTAAATAACCCTGTAAGTCTTGATTCCCTAAACCTAAATGAAGGGGCATATAAATCCTAAGAATTAACTTCTCTGATTTGCTCCCTTTTGGTCTGCTAACCATTCAAAGTGTTTCTTGCATCTGTTCTTCTATCTGTTCAATCAATGGAAAAAGTGCATGTTGATTCTGCCAGAAATCGTGTGAGCTTATAACTCTTCATGCACAAGGAGGGGTTATGGAGATGGAGCGGTGGGTGTAGATGAGAAGACGGTGTCCTTTATAATCCATCAGAGATTAAGTAGGCAGGGTTGACACCATGTGGTTAGGATTTCAAAAGCTCAAAGAGGAAGGTAGACTTTACCTCTAACTTCCTCACCACCCATTCCCAATGCATGAAAAGTGACACTGGCAGGCCTGCTGATGGGGCACTAAAGGAATTAGTGTCAGCCACCCCAGTTCTGCTGCCTTCACCTCCTTTGGAAGCCAGAACGTGCAAATCTTAAATTGTAACTGGTCTGTACATATAAATAGGAATGCAAGATATATAGGGTTATAATAGGTAGTTAAACATAGCACAGTTCAAAAATTAAATTCAGTATTTTTTCCCCAGGAGACAAAATTAAGGTTTTTTTCCCCCCATTTGCCTGGAGTTCTTTGCTTCTCCAGTACAACATTAGCACTCTGGAATGTGATACTGTGGGGACAGAACATGTCAATCTTTGTTATGTATTTTTCTACCTGAGTTCAGCTGTCTCCACCAGTCGATGCAGCCTGATGACATTCCCCTCGAGCTGTGGAAGGTTTGGAGCATCCCGCATCACCAAGACATAGAAATCCTGCAGGGAGCACAGTAATTAATGGAGGCCTTGGCAGATTTTATGCACACCCTTCACGTTCCAAAGAACAATGGGACACCGTTCTTGCAGGCTGAACTACCACTGTTATCTCTTGGGTACGAGATCTGGGAATAATGGCGTATTTAAGAAATTCTCGGTTTACATAATAAAATGGCTCTCGTATACAGGTCGCAAGTGTGCATTTCTTTTGGCATGTCTTATATACATAAAGACCTAGATGCTATACTATGTTAAAAACTTTTTAAAAATATATAATTTAAAAAAATAATAATTTAGAATTTTTTTAATATAATATTCTGTTTGTTTCATTTGAAATTTAATTACAAAAAATTTGTATAATAGTACATTGTGCAGCTATCCCTATCCTTTCGCACAGCAGTGAGTGATCTTCACCTGCCACACTTTGTATAACATTGGCTGAGTATGTGCCTTTTTATATTAAGGATGTGAAGGCGTGACCTTTGGGCCATTAACCTCAGTAATATGTGGCCTTCTAACCTCAAATAAAGTTTGAAGTGACCTTTTGGCCTTACACAGAGTACCACACTATGACCTTTGACCTGTAGTAATTCACAGCAGTGTTAACTGCCTGCCTCTTGAAAATTGATAGGTCGCCCTTGGGCACTTGTGAAGGTTACTTTTTCTTGCAGTTGGCTCCTACCTTGATTAGCTGGAAAGTGCGCTCCTCTTCCTGCAGAGAGTCCTTATATGTGTCCAGGAGATGCAGAAGAGAACAGAGGACCGCTTGCTTCTTCTGCACGGCATCACCTCCTTCCCACGTCGGAGACGTGTGTCGGCTACACCCACAGAAAGTATTTAAGTTCAGGAAAAATACAACTTGAAAACAAGGCATGATGTACGGTTGGACAAGAATATGGGCAGGTGGAATGATGGTTACGTGATAAATAGAGGAATAAATATTTACAAGTAAAATGGATACCCACTAACAACTCCTCCAACTGTCCCTCATTTGGGGGCACGGTCCGGAGTTTAGAAGTGCTAGGCAATTGAAAAAAGTAGTCTATATAATTGCTGTATTGTCTGATCCTGAATGCTTCTTTAATGTCTTAGGGAGTTTAGCAGCAAGGACATATCACTAATTATGATGTAACCTCTCACAGAACAGCAATAAATCATAAATGTGAATGCACAAGTGACTTTTATAGTTTTAGGACAGATCATGAAGAAGGATAGTGGGGTTTAAAAGCCTTGGTGATGCAAAAACAAGAAAATCTTGAAACTTCTCAAAACTTCACTTGCTTAAAGTTAAGCATTCATTACTAAAATATAAAGGGATGCCATTTCAGACCGCCTACATAACAGTTCCATGGCTGTTCTGCCAACCCTCTTGCTACTTTATAAGTCATGGATCTGGAAAACGTGTACAGCTAAAAAAAGTCAGAGACAATCAGAACTCCTTATTTGAATGATTAAATAATATATAGAAGCCAGTTGGCCGCTAGCATATTCAGAAGGAGTACACAAACTTCATGCTTCATACATAATAGGTTTCCTATATATATAAACATTTTTGTGTGGTCTAAAAGATTTACTTTCTATACTAGTTTGCAAGCTCCAAAATATTCCAAAGCTTTTTGTAGATTGCACAAAACCATTTACTTCTGCTCCAGCTGCTCTGTTGGAGTTTACAATCTAACCTCACTTGAGCAATTATAAAAAAAAACAGATGCTCACTCCCTAATGGCATTATTTTTTAGGTAGAATCCAATTAGCCTATTAGCTTACCTATTACGCTGTAGACTATATGAACAGTTCTTAAAGTCAACCTGTGCTTGCTTATGCAAGGCAAAGCTACAGGTTCATTTTAAATGGTATATTCCCCAGCAGCACATACACAATATTTCTTCACTCCCTACCACTCCAATCAGCCATGAGGGATAAATAATACACAATTTTTTCAGGTATAGGGGACCGCGTGATTTCCTTCTCTTTCTTCTACATGACAAGGCTGGTGCTTGGTGATTTGCCCCAGGCTATCACATTCAGGATGGGGGAGGAGGGGTGGAAATAGCCCTCACTCAACCCTTTATAGGGCTTCCCCTATTGGCTTAATGCAGGTGAACAGAGTGGTGGGGGAGTTAAGGAAAGGTAAGTGTGGCTGGGGAGGCTGAGGAAAGTTAAATAAATCTGCTGTTTTGCCCAGCATCCGTCAAAGCATAGGGTCACTTTAAGCCCTTTAAAGAGTTCCCCATGGTCTCTGTGTGTGTTATAAAGTAGCCACCGCTCCAAGCTCGCTCCCGTAGACTATATATCCAATACAAATTAGTAAACCAAATGTGAGATTGTAATTCATCATGGGAGTGAGCTTGGAGTGGTGGCTACTTTATAACACACACAGGGACCATGGGGAACAAATGTAGCCACCCTCCAGAAGGCAGGACAGTGTCAGCACAAATTCAGAGATGATTTCAGGATCTACAGCTGAGTGATACACAAATATGTTACATTTTATGTAATAGTTAAGGTACTTTAATTAATTTTTAAGAATGAACTCTTAGTGTCACTTTAAGATCCTCCGTTGTGATTGATGTACACCACTCCTGTGGCACTGTCCTCTAGTTAAGCATTGTAGAGACATCCAGATTCCCCGTAGTTCCAGAATGTCTATTAGGAGATAAGATTCCTCTGACATCCAAGTCCCCTGCACCAACAAAGTGCGCAGGACTTCTCCCCAGCATGACAGGCTGGCATCCGATGTGATGATCTCTTGAAAGATAGGACTTTCAGACTTCATAGTCGGATTCCTGAGCTACCAGGCCAGGGTCGTCAGAGGCAGGCAAATCAGTCTGTCCAAGGACTGGGTGGACTTTTCCCATGATGACAGGATGTTGTGTTGTAGGGGTCTGCAGTGGAACTGGGCAAATGGGACTGCCTCGAAGGAGGCTACAATCAGACCCAGAACTCTCATGAAGAAGCAAAAAGTGTGGTGACTTAGACTCAGGAGTCTGAGCCTTGGAGCACAGAGTTTAAAGTTTCTTCTGGGGCAGAAAAACCCTTGCGTGAGTTGTGTCTAGGCTAATTTTTTTAACATATATTGCAAGGCTATAGTCCGGTCATGCTGACTGGTGAAATTTTTGACTGACTGGTGAGACACCGCCAAATTTTTCAAGCCCTGGCTATGACCAAGATATTCCAAGTGATGAGTAGGTTCCAGCACTAAATTCTGAAGGTTCAGGACCCACCCGAATTCCTGCAAGGTCTGGACAGTCCAGGCTACATTGTCCCCCAGAACCTGTGCCAACTGTTTAATCAATGAGAAGTCATCCAGATATATAACAATGGGGATTCCATGGGAGCACAGTAAGACTAGCACAAGGATCCACACTGCGATATAGAAGATAGGTCGAATGGCAGGGCAGCAAACTGGAGGTACTGGGGATCCACAGCAAAGTGAAGGAGTTATTGATGTGCTGAAGAAATAGGAGCATGTAGGTATGTATAAATGATAGTCACAGAGGCCAGAAAGTCTCCCTGATGAAGGAAAGCTTCAGACGTGGGAGATTCCAGGGGCCCTGATGGATTCTGGGCCTTAATTAAGACAGGGTTTCGATATCCAAGGGTTTCGATATCCAAGATGAGCAGAATGTCCTCTTTTGTTTTGGGGTTTCAATATCCAAGATGAGCAGAATGTCCTCTTTTGTTTAGGGTTTCGATATCCAAGATGAGCAGAATGTCCTCTTTTGTTTTGGGGTTTCAATATCCAAGATGAGCAGAATGTCCTCTTTTGTTTAGGGTTTCGATATCCAAGATGAGCAGAATGTCCTCTTTTGTTTTGGGGTTTCAATATCCAAGATGAGCAGAATGTCCTCTTTTGTTTAGGGTTTCGATATCCAAGATGAGCAGAATGTCCTCTTTTGTTTTGGAAACTGTAAGCAAGCTGGAGTAAAACCCCTGGAACCTGTAACACTATAGAGCAGTTGTACTATTACCTGAATAAGATTGCAGCTGCAGAAGTGGTGGCAAACATTAACTGGTAAGAAGGAGTAGTAGCTTAGGAAGTCTCTTCTCTAGTTCAGGAGTTCAACGCAGGTTCATAATAAGCCACGCAGTGATAACACATGTCTAGGAATACCTTGGGAATTGCATGGAAGCTCATAGAACACATCTTATATGAGGTGATATAAGTAGTCAATCTGGTTTTCCTTACATACAGGATTTATGTCATACACCCAGGTAGTACAGAAGTATGCAATACAGGTTACTAGCGGATTATGTGTTTCTTCACACAGAAACTTAAGTAAATTATTAACAGAACACCTCTTAAGGATGAATAAGAGCAACAGAACTTGAAAATAGGCTTCTCTCTGGACAGGTTAAACACCACACACTACCGCAAGTATATGAACAGTCGGTTAGGTAGGAGGGTTATACTTGCAGTTAGTAGTTTGGAAGCACTGAGGTTCCGCTAAGTGGAATTTGAACAGCAAGAGCTCTTTAGTGAATGTAAGATGAGTAGCATACAAAGGTTGAAGCAAGGGAACCTTATTCCCCTGGACACTTAATGTCCAGGGGAATAGGTAGCAATCCTTAGAGTGGAGGTGAAGGCTCCTGACAGTCGTGTCCAGTATGGGGCGCAGGCTGCCAGCTCTGTGAAGATGGAGTCGGGAGACAAGAAGGCAAGTGGCGGTGTCAGCGAGGAATATTGCTCAGCGCCTGCAACAATAACAAGAAGCCGAGCAATTCAAATATGGCGTCTTAAATCTGACAGCCCGCTGTGGAAGGAGGGGCAGAGTCCCGCTGCAGGAGTAGGGGGCGGCAGACATTCACAACGGAACGCTGCAAGGTAAGTTTATCATAGAACCTTTTTGACACCAGAACTGGGGCAATGACACTCTGCTTCAGAAGACTCACTATGGCTCTATGGAGATCCGCTAATCTATGTGATGACATAGATAGGTTGGAAGTAATAAACCAAAAAGGGGGTTAGGAGCAAACTTCTAGTTTGTAGCTCCTGAATACACCTCTTGCACGCAAGCATCTGAGAAGCTGTTTGTCCAAATGTCTGCAAAGCCTAACAGAGGTCCACACACATTGAAAAGTGTGGATACCCCCTCATGATGAATTACATATACAGTATCTGAGAGTTTAGGGAAGTTGGAAGACTTTGCTGAATTTGTCAACATTATTTCAATATGTGAAAAAGTGGTGGTGGGCGGGCTAACGTAGTGCAGGGTACAAGACAAGGCCTCAAATATTCACAAACCTGGATGCAGCCAAAGGTGACCAAAGCTAATGTAAACAGGCAACAGAGACAAATGGGGGAGATTGCCACATGTCACTTGCAGTCTGGAGAAGCAGCGGGATGGTGTTTCCTCAGCGCTGAATGGTGGGTGAGAAAGCACATAGCTCGCAACACTCCACCCAATGGATGATGCCAATGCTCAATCCCTCAATCCATGGTAAAACTGACAGAAATAAAGCATTTTAAATAGTGCCCAGCAGTTCTGTTAACGAGGTAGGCTCCTGGTGCTTGGCCACACGGTCTACTCAGGAAGCGAGTGAGAGACGGGGTACCACTAAGATGGAGACTCTCATAGTTTAGAGTTAGGACCGCACTATTTAGAGGTGCCTTGACGCGGTTGTGCGGCTTTCACATTTTCTGCAGAAGACGTGTAACTAAACCTCTGTTTTTAACCTTAGTGGTGAGATAAGGTTTTTTTTGCATGCTGGCTGGCAAGTGTGCAGGGAAAACTTTTTGCTGTACACCTGAGGTTGTGCCACGGCTCTGAACCTGGAGAGCGCTCCACAGCTAACTAAAACAGTACTATGGCTCTATGGTCTGAAAAGCACCACAATGCAAAGCCCAGTGCCTGAAGGTCTCATTCCAAGCTAGCTTTGCAGGTCCAGTCCTTCAGGGTCTAGGTACGGCACTCCAGCGTCAGGCTTGGAAAGGCCCAACAGTAATGTATAAGGGAATCTTGACTTAAGAAAAAACAAAAAAGGCAGCAAAAGGGTTAGACCTTTCTCTACAGAGCACAGAAAAGACGTCCATCCTCCTAAGACACTAGCAAAAAATCTGAGGCATGCTGGAAGAAGAAGGAGCTACATTGGACTGGCCCAAAACATTTTTGTTTACCCATGTCCAATCCTCCTGTGGCCATCAGTGCAACCTAATAGTCTCTGGATTCCTGTGCCCCTCAGAGACACAAGAAAGAAGATTTGTTTTGAAGCAGCTTGGCTCCCACTGGAGAGATTTCTCATCACTTCCTGCTGAGACATGAGTGATAGCAAATATACCCAGAGGGGACGCAGACCACAATTACAAAGGTTTCTATCCCTTCCATCCCCTTTCCGAAACCAAACGTTTGGTCTGGAGTTGGGCTTTAATGTTGAACACATACAGGCCTAATAATTAGTATGGCAATGTACAGAATAAAACGAAAAGGATATTATTGTTGTAACTGGACTAGAAGTTCATCCGTAGGCAGAAACAGTGTGTGGGTGAGTATGAAATCGTCCAACGCTAGTTCTGGAGGAAGACATAAAGAGAAAAATAACAGGAATTTAGAACATTATTGCAATATGTGGAAAAAAAAAAAGGAAGTAAAGGTGTGTTCATAGCAACCAATCATATGCCTGGTGTCCTATTTTTTACCATGTATTAGAAAGTAACAGACGGTTGCTATGGGCAACACAACAGAGACCCCCCCCCACACACACTTCCCTATTATCCTTATTTTATCATCAATATATTGCTCTTAATGGTAACACTTAGTTACATAGATGTTACAAAGTTATTAAGGTTGACTAAAGACACAGGTCCATCGAGTTCAACCTTTATGGTTTTGTGTGTGAGTGTGTTTGAGTTACTAAGGTTACCTGTACCTCTGTATTTCTTGCTCTCTGAGAAAAGTATCTAGATGGGTTGAATGATTCCATACTCTCAGCTGATACAACTGTCTGTGAAAGGGAGTTCCACAATTTTACAACTCTCACAGTAAAGAAAACCCGGCGCAATTTCAGAATAAACCTCTTCTCTTCCAGTTTCAGGTGGTGGCCTCTTGTTTTCTTGACTGAGCTAACAGTAAACAGTAGGGATACACCGATACCGGTAATTTGTTACCGAGTACGAGTACTGATAATTTCTTTCGGTACTCGCTGATACCAATTACCGAGTACCGGAAGTCCCATTCAGGAAGCCAGGTGGCGTGTAATCGCCACCTGGCTTCCTGATAAGCCGGGAAGCCGGGCACCGTGTAAAGACTTGCCACCCGGCTTCCCGATTAACAAGAAAGCCATCCCATACGAATCTCTCAGTGCGGATCTCTGTCCCCTCTCAGCTCCGCATGTCCAGCCTGTCACCCCCGGGGGCTTCCTGTTTGGCCTGCGGCACCCGGCTTCCTGATTGGCCAGCGCGTCATTACACGCTGCCCGGCTTCCTGATTGGCCGGGAAGTCGGCTCCATACTCTCTCATCACAAGTGACGAGAGAACATGGAGCCGCTTCCCAGCCAATCAGGAAACCGGGCAGCGTGTAATGACGCACTGCCCGGCTTCCTGACACAGGAGGTATCGGGCTAGGCATCAGAGCATTTGGGTGAGTACGAGTGCTCACCCAAATACTCGGTATCGGCACCTATATCGATACCAGTATCGGTGCATCCCTAGTAAACAGTTTATGATTATTCCATCACCATCAAACAATTAGTACATTAATACCATGTCGGACGTCCCTCTCAGTATCCTCTTTTCAAGAGTGAACAAGTTTAATTCATGCAGTCTTTCCTGATAATTTAGGCTCTCTATCCCCTTTATGAGCTTTGTCACCCTTCTCTGGACTCTCTTCAGCTCACAGACATTCTTTCTATGGATCGACCAAAACTGAACCACATACTCAAGATGAGGCCAAACCAGTGTTCCTTGTTATTCCACTTGCAATAAAAAATAACATTTTAAAAAGCAAGTTAAGTTTATTTCCTGAATAAGCTGTACTTTTATTTCAAGCATAATACTTTATATGCACTGCATTTCACGTTCATAGTGTAACAAAATGACTTTCAATGTGTAAAAATACTCCACAGTGAATTTATATTTTCATTTCTTTGGAAAATGTCCATTTTTCAGAAAAAAAAAAAACAGGGGGAAAATTTTTTTTTTTTTTCTCGTGGTTCAAAATTTCCAGAAATTTTACATCTCTACCTAAAGGTCAATGTTACCTAAAACGAATGTGTAGCTGTGCATAGCTGTCAGCAAGCTGAATGAAATGCTAATTTCTTATGTCTCAACAATGGCATGACATCACATCCAAATGTTCAGTTGTGGCCAAATGTTGGCATCATTCTCCACCAGTGGAATTTCCATCAGCATCATTCTCCACCAGTGGAATTTCCATCATTCTCCACCAGTGGAATTTCCATCATTCTTCACCAGTAGAATTTCCATCATTCTTCACCAGTGGAATCTCCATCATTCATCACCAGTGGAATCTCCATCATTCTTCACCAGTAGAATTTCCATCATTCTTCACCAGTAGAATTTGCATCATTCTTCACCAGTGGAATTTCCATCATTCTTCACCAGTGGAATTTCCATCATTCTTCACCAGTGGAATTTCCATCATTCTTCACCAGTGGAATTTCCATCATTCTTCACCAGTGGAATTTCCATCATTCTCCACCAGTGGAATTTCCATCATTCTTCACCAGTGGAATTTCCATCATTCTTCACCAGTAGAATTTCCATCATTCTTCACCAGTGGAATTTCCATCATTCTTCACCAGTGGAATTTCCATCATTCTTCACCAGTGGAATTTCCATCATTCTTCACCAGTGGAATTTCCATCATTCTTCACCAGTGGAATTTCCATCATTCTTCACCAGTGGAATTTCCATCATTCTTCACCAGTGGAATTTCCATCATTCTTCACCAGTGGAATTTCCATCATTCTCCACCAGTGGAATTTCCATCATTCTTCACCAGTGGAATTTCCATCATTCTTCACCAGTGGAATTTCCATCATTCTTCACCAGTGGAATTTCCATCATTCTTCACCAGTGGAATTTCCATCATTCTTCACCAGTGGAATTTCCATCATTCTTCACCAGTGGAATTTCCATCATTCTTCACCAGTGGAATTTCCATCATTCTTCACCAGTGGAATTTCCATCATTCTTCACCAGTGGAATTTCCATCATTCTTCACCAGTGGAATTTCCATCATTCTTCACCAGTGGAATTTCCATCATTCTTCACCAGTGGAATTTCCATCATTCTTCACCAGTGGAATTTCCATCATTCTTCACCAGTGGAATTTCCATCATTCTTCACCAGTGGAATTTCCATAATTTACTAAGAACAAATACCTGCTGTAAAATTGCGACACTTTTGTCCTCGTAGGAGGGGGTTAAGAAACATACAACTACAAACTACAAGGAAGTGTTTAAGAGATATAATACAGTCATGATAAGGAAATGTTTTTTGTCTCAGACTTTTGCAGAGTTATTCACATAAGGGTGAAGAGTTGGAACAGGAAGAAGTTAGAAATCTAGGACAACATAGCTGACCTGGAAAGTGAGCTGAATTGAAGAATGTTTCCAGTTCAGCTATGTTGTCCTAGATTGTTCACTTCTCCTGCCTTCTCCAGACTCTTCACCCTTTTATCTGTAAAAAATAAGTCAAGGCAACTGGACTTGATGTATTTTTCTTGAAGACGTTTCACTGGACATCCGACCAGCTTTCTCAATTCAGAATTATTAATTCTGAATTGAGAAAGCTGGTTGGATAACCAGTGAAACATTTTCAAGAAAAATACATCAAGTCCAGTTGCCTTGACTTATTTTTACAGATATGCCATGACCTGGATGAATGAGAACCTTCACAGACATATCTGCACTCTTTTGGTAATAGCCCTGTTTGTGTAATAAAGCATCTCTCACCCATCTCAGAGAGGTGTGCGTTCCCCAGTATTTATTCCATGGTTTAACATTCATCATCAGACATGCTTCACTTTCAATGTGACCCAATTTACTAAAGCACTCCCTAAGATGTAGTTGAGCAACACAAAAGTTTGTACCTGCGTGTGCCCTGGCATGTTTACATGTGCAAAGGTACGACACGCCCAGTTAGTATAATACAGTGTGCTTAATGAATTGACATATCCACTATAACGAACAAGAACCTGAGCATCTCCAGCCCAGGCAAAGGTACAAAATCCACTCCAAGTAACATAAGAGCTAATCACCTTCTAATACTATTCTGCTGTCACATTACCATACATTATACATTACAGACCCCCAGCACTGTGTGATCCTGTCCTATAATCTACAATTTAGGAGATCCCTGTAAATTATACAGACCCCAGCGCTGTGTGATCCTGTCCTATAATCTGCAATCAGGAGATCACCGTACATTATACAGACCCCAGCATTGTGTGATCCTGTCCTATAATCTACAATCAGGAGATCCCCGTACATTATACAGACCCCCAGCACTGTGTGATCCTGTCCTATAATCTACAATCAGGAGATCCCCGTACATTATACAGACCCCCAGCACTGTGTGATCCTGTCCTATAATCTACAATCAGGAGATCCCCGTACATTATACAGACCCCCAGCACTGTGTGATCCTGTCCTATAATCTACAATCAGGAGATCCCCGTACATTATACAGACCCCCAGCACTGTGTGATCCTGTCCTATAATCTACAATCAGGAGATCCCCGTACATTATACAGACCCCCAGCACTGTGTGATCCTGTCCTATAATCTACAATCAGGAGATCCCCGTACATTATACAGACCCCCAGCACTGTGTGATCCTGTCCTATAATCTACAATCAGGAGATCCCCGTACATTATACAGACCCCCAGCACTGTGTGATCCTGTCCTATAATCTACAATCAGGAGATCCCCGTACATTATACAGACCCCCAGCACTGTGTGATCCTGTCCTATAATCTACAATCAGGAGATCCCCGTACATTATACAGACCCCCAGCACTGTGTGATCCTGTCCTATAATCTACAATCAGGAGATCCCCGTACATTATACAGACCCCCAGCACTGTGTGATCCTGTCCTATAATCTACAATCAGGAGATCCCCGTACATTATACAGACCCCCAGCACTGTGTGATCCTGTCCTATAATCTACAATCAGGAGATCCCCGTACATTATACAGACCCCCAGCACTGTGTGATCCTGTCCTATAATCTACAATCAGGAGATCCCCGTACATTATACAGACCCCCAGCACTGTGTGATCCTGTCCTATAATCTACAATCAGGAGATCCCCGTACATTATACAGACCCCCAGCACTGTGTGATCCTGTCCTATAATCTACAATCAGGAGATCCCCGTACATTATACAGACCCCCAGCACTGTGTGATCCTGTCCTATAATCTACAATCAGGAGATCCCCGTACATTATACAGACCCCCAGCACTGTGTGATCCTGTCCTATAATCTACAATCAGGAGATCCCCGTACATTATACAGACCCCCAGCACTGTGTGATCCTGTCCT